TATATATATAGCATTGTCTTTGGGCTGGGGATTTAGCTCAGTGGTGCCATGCCTGCTTTGCAAGCACAAGGTCCTGAGTTCAATCTTCGGTACCAGAAAAAAAAGAGTGACAGCTTGATATGGTGGTACATGCCTGTAATTCCAGCTCTTGGGAGGCTGAGGTAGGTGGATTCACCATGAGTTTGAGGCCAGCCTAGGCTACACAGTGTGTTCAAGGCCAGCCTTAACTACCTAGCAAGATCCTATCTTAAACAAAAAAAATCACATAAATAAACAAAAAGGGTGACAAATTCTCAGAACACTGATAGATGCTTGAGTGATGGAAACTTGTGATCTCATTATATGCTAGGGAAGTGCTCTACCACTGAGCTACACCTCCACCTCTCATCCCCTTTCTAAAATCTGATTTTGAGATGGGGTCTTGCAGAGTCACCCAGGCTTGTCTCAACTCACAATCCTGCCTCAGCCTCCTGAGTGGCTGGGATTATAATGTGCACCACCACACAGAGCTTTGCAAGTTTTATTAGCTATGGAGAAAGACAAATTCACTACAGCAACTGTCTATTAACAGCAATGACTATAAATAGTAAGCTATGAATTTCATTTTTTCCATCATTCTCTATGTTACAATCCTTAACAATCCTTAGCTTACAACCAATCTTAATAGTGTTCAACCAAGAAAAAACCATAGAGTACAAAGTCTGTTTGCGATTAGAAATTCACAATCCTTAGGCTGGGGATTTAGCTCAGTGGTTCTGCTGCCTGCCTCGCAAGCACAAGGAGCCAAGTTCAATCCCTGGTGCAAAAAAACAAAAAAAAAAAGAAATTCACAATCCTATATGAATTCACATAAAAATGAAACACTTTTGGTTTTAGACAATGATTTAATGTAGTACACAAAGAATATTAAAACAGGGCCGGGGATTTAGCTTAGTGGTTCTGGCGCCTACCATGAAAGTACAAGGTCCTGAGTTCAATACCCAGTACCAAAAAAAAAGGATATTAAAACAGCTACAGAGCAGGTAAAGTATGTCAACAGGCTCAGTAACCTTAAATACTTATATTTACATATAAATAGAACAGCTAGTAGGAATTTATTATATATGCAATATTTACGTAGCACTTTTTTTTTTTTGGTACCAGGGATTGAACTTGGGTCCTTGCACTTGTGGGCCAGGCGGCGGAACCACTGAGCTAAATCCCCAGCCCTATGTAGCACTTTTATGATCTAAATAGGTTTTACACTTGACATCATAGAATCACATCACAGAAACTTTACATAAAGGTATGCTCACCTCTGCCGTCATTCTAGCAAATAAGTCAGGAGGAATATTCCCACACAGTACATTTTTCCTTAAATTTGGATTCTTTGCATCTTTAAGATTTGATATTCTACTTCGTACTCTATTTTTATATTTCATGTCTGTATTTCTTATTTCTTGATATATAGGTACTTGGCTATTAAGGAAAAAAAGTTAAATTATGAAGATCACTTTTTTTCTGTTCTGCCAAATAAGAATTCCTGAAATTTCTAAGCAGTTCACAAAAATTGTCTCTAATTTAAATCAAGGTAAAAACAAGACATGTGTCTCATTCCTTTATTTGTAACTGGCAAATAATAGTGTTTATGCTCTGGATGAGTATTTCTCAATGTTTAATGCTAGCCACATGCAAAATCAACAGTTTTTAAAAATTCAGGTAATCAATCCAAGTGAACACATTTTTGAAAAGGAGTTTGAGTTATACAACTTTAACTTGCCCAAATCTGAATTCCAATAAGAATCTTAAGTCTCAGCAGCCATGGTCCCAGTTCTACTGAGGCCTTCTGAGAGGAGACCTTTCAAAGGGCCCTGGAAGTTCACTTCTTTCCAGCTCAGCACGCGTTAAGTTCAGTAGGTCTTTCTCCACAGGTCAGGTCACAAAGAGAGCTCTGGATAGTATCATCTGTCACCTAGATATTCTCTGTTCTTCCCTTATGCAGGATGTGTTTCCCAGAGCCCTTTCTGTGGTACCCAGCATGAATATACTTCCCTCTAGGACAGTGGCTAATTTACGGCATGTGTGCCGCAGCTGGCTGGCTGTTACCATTGAAAGCTCTAAAAGGTTCACCATCACTGCTCTAGGATGAGCTCAGGGGACCGTGTACAGTTTCCTGAGATACCCTTGTTGAGAAATCTTCACACTTACATGTGTGTTTTCCCTGCCCTTCTGCACAACTTAAATTCAGATGCTACATTCTCAATTTTCAAGGCAAAAAAATAAAATAATGCCAACATGACGTGTTATTTACTTTTGAGTGATAGAAAGAAACAAGCTAACGTGAATGTTCTTCTCCTTCCTGACAAAAACAATACAATCAAGAAGGAAACTGATGGGCCAGGGATTTAGCACAGTGGTGCTGCCGCCTGCTTCGCAAGTGCCAGGTCCTGAGTTCGAACTCCAGCACCAAGGAAAAAAAAAAAAAGAAATTGAAAAATAAACCTTTAAATCACATACCAAAAGAAAAAATTTATAATCAATTTAGCAGATTACTTCAAACAGTTATGATTATGCACACAAAAGGATATCTTCCTCAATCTGAGATCCTAGTTCTTCCTCATCAGCTCCAATTGCAACGTAGTCATCTAAAAACAGGTATAAAGAAGCATCAAGTTATTATAACATATTAAAAGTACAGTATGAGGTAAGTTAAAACTGTACTCTTATTTCTTCAACCCCATTTGTGTCACATAAAGAATCCTTTTAGTTTAATTTCATTAGAATCTGTTATCTTACTACCCACTAGACTCCTCCTCTGGGATTCACCTAATATCCACAGTGCTCCTGCATTGATGACTCCTTTTCCCTCAGGAGTGGGGAAGTAATTCAACTAGCAGGCAATTCCTCATTCACAACTCCATAAATTCTGGTTGTTCCAGCAGAGTGGAGAAAGTTACAGAAAGAACTGTCTGTCTCCTGTGACTCAGGCTTCAATGCAAAGAAACCATTCATTTCATCTGCCAATCACATACACGGACACACTCAGAAGACTCCTATACAAATATTCAAAAGGATAGAAAGAAATAAATAGAAACTAGAGAGAAAATGAAAATATACATATAAAGAGACAGTAAGGAAATCAAAGTAGAAAGAGCAGAATAAGGAAAACAACAGGTCAAACTAGCTATGTTTCAGCATATTCGAAAAGTATGAATTTGTATGATTTTTATTTATGTATATGAAACTTGTTCTTTTTTAAACTGATAAGTTGTACTCCATATTTATGGAGTAGCATGTTATGTTTCACTATATTTACAACTTCAAAGCCAAAATTTTACACACTAAGACTAGATACGTTCAAATTAAAGTTTCCATAAAAAAAATCAAGATTGCTTTTCTACTTAAAAAATGAAAAATGAAAAAAAGGGGAAAATGAAATTATTACATGCCATATGTCACACAAAAATTTATATTGTTAACTCTCAATGTAAGGACAGAGTAAGCAGTATGCACAGTTAAATGCAGGAAAATGAAAAATTGTGGGAGAAAAGTTTGTATTACCGTGAATTAGGAAAAGCAGCCATATATTAAGGGAATCTATTTCTTGGAGTTACATAGTAATAACTAGATGTCCTATTATAAAGTAATACGTAGGTACTCTTCTTTCTCTCATCCTTCAGAGACCACTACTAGCAACAACTTCTCCCAGTGCTAAGTAAGCAGAATGGGCAGCTATCAAGAAAGAGGAGGATGCTTGTAAAATAGTAATTTAGAGGTGGAGATGGTGGCAATGAAAAGGCTGACAAACAACACACAACATACATGAAACTTACCTCCTGTTCTGAGAGCTGCAGCAAGCATCTCCCTACACTTTAACCGCACAGAATCTGAAGTGCTTGGTGCTCGAGGAAAAGATGAAACGTAGGTATCTCGAGCATTTGTCTCATCCTTTCTGCTGCTTACATTGCTACTGGAACTACTACAAAATACACCCCCCACACACACATACAAAAATAAAAAATCAGGAGAAACCCTCTTAAAGTAAGAACATGTTTTCATTCTCTAAAAACAACTTTTTGCCTAAATAGATAAGATAGTATTTCAGTAACTCTTACATAAGGAAAAGTTGCCTGCAAATAGATTGAAAACAAGTTAATAAAAGTTTTTAAATTTAAGAAAGAGACAAGTTTCAAGTCTTTTTAAAAATACCAGATATTTTACCTTGATTGTTCTTTCACTCATTAAACAATATTTTAATAGAGAAAATACACATATACTTCATTACATGTGAGGCAAAGACCTTGGTTTGAAGAAAAGAATGAAGGGGGCCGGGGATTTAGCTCAGCGGTTCTTCTGCCTACCTCGCAAGCACAAGGTCCCGAGTTCGATCCCCAGTACCAAAAAAAAAAAAAGAAAAGAATAAAGGGATGGGACCAGAGAATATGGCAATGCCATCAAAACGAAAGGGTGAAAAAAACCTTTTGAAAAACCCTATTTAAATTAGATAACAAGGGTCTAACAAGACAAACACTCTTCAGAGGAAAGCCAGGTGTATTGAGAAGTCTAGAGACTATGAAAAGGTCTCATCTCCCTGGAAACATCAATTCAATATGTCTATCAGCCTTCATACACAATAATGTGAGTTTGAAAATAGGGTATATATCTAAACTTCAAGTATATAAAAGTGATGAAAATGTGCTAAGAATTTGCTTTTCCTTCATTATATATTTAAAATATTTCCCTATATTTTATATTTTCAAGGTATTAAGCCAGTGACCCTGAATGTAAAACAATTAAAAGTACACTTTAAGGGCCGGGGATTTAGCTCAGTGGTTTTGCCACCTGCTGCGCAAGCGCAAGGACCCGAGTTCGATCCCCAGTACCAAAAAAAAAGTACACTTTAAAAATTCATTAAGTTGGGCCAGGGATCTAGCTCAGTGGTTTCGCCGCCTGCCTCGCAAGCGGAAGGACCTGAGTTCGATCCCTAGTACCAAAAAAAAAAAAAAAGTAAAATTCATTAAGTTATAGTCTATACTTTTCAAAAGTATCTAGGTCAGGAAAGACAGCAATGGACTAAGAAACTATTCCAGTTAAAGGAAACCAAACAGATAAAAACTAAATGCAATATATGGTCCTGGATGATACTTTAGAAAAATGTTTTTCCTTTGCAATAAATGACATTTTTGAGAGCTGCATAAATATGAATGTCTTGATTAAAATATTCTATCAATGTTAATTTCCTGATACCGATAGCTGTATTACAGGTTTTTGTGGGGGGTTTTTTTGGTACCAGAGATCCAACTACGGTCCTTGCGCTTACAGGGCAGGCAGCAGCAGCACTGACCTAAATTCCCGGCCCTGTAGTATAGTTCCATGTAAGAAAATATACCTATTCTTAGGAAATATGCACTGATGTACAGTACTGAGAGGTATAAAAGGAATGTCTGCAATCACTCTTATTTAGTCCAAAATAAAATTAGTTCATGTGGATACACACACAAGTATATAACAGGAGCAACTAGGTAAGAACTTATAAAAATTCTTTGTTCTATTTTTGCAATTTTCTAAAAGTCTAAAGTTATCTCAAAACAAAAAGAAAAAACTTCATAAATTTTATGAGCAACTGCTGTTAACTCTACCTTTGGCTTACCCCTACAGTTCTGGGGATTGAATCTAGGGCCTCAAACCTACTAGGCAAGTGCTTTATCACTGAGCCATACCCCCAGCCCACTAGGCTTTCCTCTTTTAACATCAAGTATAGTTAGTACAAATTATACATAAAATTACAGTGTATTTAATAAAAGAATGATTACTACATGATTAATTCTGGCAAAGCATCAAGAAATAAAGTTAAAATAGATAGTAGCCTTAATGTCTTAAATATGTCTAAGACTCTAAGTGGGGTTATTATACAGTAGTTTAAAATTCAGGGACAGAAAAGAGTTTTGAAGTTACTGCTATCAAGCAGAGCTTGTAAAACCTGAGTGTGTCATAAGTGCCTGAAAAGCTTATTAAAAACAGAATTCTGGGCCACCACCAGGATTCTTGACTCAGTAGTTCCAGGTTAAGGCTGAGGTATCAGGCTCCTTGCTCTTTGAGACACACTTTGAGAACCACTGCTATAAGTCAGTGTCAACTGTTAAAACTGTAAGCTTCTCAAAAACAAAGAAACTATTTGTATTTATTACACATATCATCCATTATGGCAATATGTAGGTACTGCACAGTTCATGATGGTATGTGTTAGCAAAGAATAAATGTAGTGACCTCACAGGAGCTGAGAACAATCTGAACCCTTCATAGGTAAACTTTACACTTTAAGTTCCTAGGATAAATAGCTAAATTTGGAAGGAAAAAAGCACAGAAAGGGGAATGAGATCCAGGACCAAAAGAAATCTAAAAAAAAAAATGTAGTAATGAGAAGTAACCATCTGAATTGCTGGTCAGTACGTTCTTTATCAATTTTATAGATGCCTATCTCAGCAATCCCATTCAATCAAATGTATTGAGTACAATGTGAATAACTATTTATACAGTCTTCTCTTTTAAATTTCTAGGAAATCTTGCTAAAAACCTTAGAATAAATGTACTAGTTATATAAATGTTCTAGTTTCATTTGATTGGAAAATTAAAAGAGGAGTGTATTATATGACCAGAAGACAATGGAGGAAGTGATGGAGCAGGTAAAACTATCTGACTTCAACATCAATGACTTAACATAAAGTGCAATACCTTTCTTCTCTTGCTTCAGGGCTATTCTGTGATGTAATCGCAGGTTCTTTTTTCTTTTCTTCAGAGTCTCTGTCATTTGATGGCCCATCTAAAAATATGAACCTCTAAGTTCTTAGCATTTGTTAAAAATAAAAACAAATTAAACACTGCTTATTAAAGGCTATTTATGAAAAAATACAATATAATGCTATGTTTCCCACAATAAAGTTTATGTATATTGTATTAGTATACTAATTTGGTAATTTTCACAATGCACATTCATGGGCACTCCTAAATACTGTAAGTTCTCTCATCTGGTAGGAACTACAAATTCAAATGCCAAAGTGATCCTAAAAGTTTAGGAAGAAGGGAAGGAAAAAATATGAAAACAAATATGAGCATGTCAAAAGCACAAATGGACTGAGGATGTAGCTTAGCAGCACAGCACATGCCTGGCAAGCATGAGGCCCTGAGTTCAATTCCAGGTATCAAAAAAAAAAAAAAAAAAAAAAGAAAGCACAGTGTACATAATGCAAGACTTTTAACAATTTTTCATGAAATCAAAAAATTTACCCTATTTCCAGTCCTGTGAACAAAGAAAATTTTCAGGGGCCGGGGTTTTAGCTCAGTGGTGCCACTGCCTGCCTCACAAACGCAAGGTCCCAAGTTTGATCCCCAGTACCAAAAACAAAAAAAGAAAACAAAAAGAAAGAACATTTTCATAGAAAATAACTCAGGATTAGTAAGACCTACCCAGCATCTCCTCTATCTTTAAATGATCTGTAAAATAAACAGTACCTAAGTTTTAAATACTAAAGAGCTAACTCATAAGAGATATATTTGGGCTTGTGTGTCTGATTTATATCACTTAACGTTATGGTCTCAAGGTAAGTAATAGGAAATAGGAAGACAGATCTTTTACAAAGGGAAAAGAGAACCAAGAGGTGGAGGCAGGTGAGGGAAAGAGGATGAAACAAGGAGTTAAAATGTGTTACGCACATGCACCAACTCCCCACAAGGAATTATAATCATCACATAAATGCAAACAGGTATTAATAAAAAATAAAAGTTAGAAAAAAATGACTTAAACAGCAATGAGACACTGAAAATAGATGTAAAACAGACTGAGACAATGTAATATTACTCTTCCCCCAAAATAAGACTTAACTGAAAAATAAGCCCTAGCATGATTTTTTAGGATGTTGTGATATAAACCCTACGCCCTAAACAAGCCCCAGTAAGATGGTCAGCCAGACAGATACATTTAGCATGTCTGCTGCAATACACAATGGAAATATTGAATTGTAAAATAATGTTGATATTAATACTTAAAATAAATGATAATATAAATTATAATTATTTGTAAATATCCAAGTGGGCACCTTTGGACAAAAGGTAAATGCCTATGTAAACAGATGAACTCAAGATTTATTCCTGAATGACCAACTGGAATACAGACATAATTCACAAATAATGTGCATATTTGATAATGGACATGATTGTAATATGAATCTTCATAATTCAATACATCATGTGTGGTAATGGACATACTTAATCCACTGGTGTGAAATAAACAAATGTTTTCTGAACTTTGGTGCTAAATTTTTCACAGCTTTTGTGTGGATCATAATTGTTGGGGGGGGGCAGGTACTGGGGATCAAATGCAGGACCTTGCACTTTCGAGCCAGGCGGCACCACTGAGCTAAAACCCTGCACGCCCCACCACCATCATTCTTAACTGTCATCATGTGTTACCACTTCTGTTTCACAAGTCTTCAATTAACACTTGATTTAATGGAAACTTTGTGAAGCCTAGCTGGCAAGAGGTCCTGACTTGAGTGAAGAATGAATTCATGGGATAAAACCACTGACATAAAATCATTTAAGGAGAGCTTGACTGCTGCACATGAGAGGTTAGGGCAAATGGTGTTACAGGAATGGAGTCACAAGAAATTCGGGCCAGCGGGCCAGGGGTGTAGCTCAGCAGCACAATGCCTGCCTGGCAAGTTCGAGGTCCTGAGTTCGATTCCTAGTACCAAAAAAAAGAAATTCAGGCTAGAATTCGGGGTCTGGAGAGTGACAATGTTCCAGTGGAGCTGGTACATGTATATAACACATCTTAATTCCTTTTTTCATCCCCTTTCCCTCCCCTCCCTCCCCAAACCATCCCCCCCTTTTGGTACATGTTTGTAGTACATAATGTTTACATTCCTTGTGTGGGGTCGGTTCACAAATAACACATACCAATTTCTTTTTTTTTAATCACTATCCCTTCCCTCCCTCTCTGTTCCGTCCATCTCTCACTTCTCTTCCCTTTTAAGAACAATCTTATCTCCCTACTTATTATCTTTTACTTTGCTCTTTATTTTTACTGTGTTTCTCATGTGATATTTAGTTTTTGTGTTTATTTTCCTTGAAATTATGATCTTAAGGTGCATCCATTTTCCTATAAATGAGTCAAGTTTATCTTTCTTTATGGCACAGCACTCCATGGTGTGTAAATACATTTTTTTAATCCATTCATCTGTTGCTTGATATACAGGCTGCTTACAATTAGCCATTATGAATTGTGCCGCTATAAACATGGGTATGCATGGATCTCTGTAATATAATGTCTTTAACTAGATACCTAGAAGGGGAATAGCTGGTTCAAATGGAATTTCTAGTTTTAGTTTTTGGAGGAATCTCCATACTGATTTCCACAGTGGTTTTAACAGTTTACATTCCCACAAAACAGTGTTGAAGGGTTCCTTTTGCCCCCATAGCCTCTCCAGCATTTATTATTTGATTGCTTTATGATGGTCATTCTTTCTGGAATAAGATGGGCTATGAGTAATTTTAATTGCTTCAAAATTAAATGAACTATAAACCTAGTTTTCATTTGTCTTTAAAGGCCAGATTCTTAGAAAAAAAACTTTATTCTGAAAGTTTCAAATTTTCACAAATATAATAAGAATAGTACAAAGAACTTCCATGTATGTATTACAGAGAATTCTCCAACTGTTACCATTCTGCACATTTGGTTTCTCGTTCCCTTCTTCCTTTTGCTATATAGACATGCATGTGTATGCACACACACATATACATACTCATCTACACAGACATATTTTTCTATTTGAAAATAAATTGCAGATATTATGCTCTTTATCCATAAATGTCTCAGTGTTTGCTAACAATATAAGACATTCTTTCATATAACTACAGAGAATAACCAGTAAATTAACAGTGGTACAAATTGTACCAACCTTCTACAAACTGTCAACTGTCCCAATAATGATCTTTTTTTTGGTACCGGGGATTGAACTCAGGACCTTGCACTTTGAGAGGCAGGCGGTGGCACCACTGAACTAAATCCCCGGCCCCCAATAATGATCTTTACAGGAACGTTTTTTTTCTAGTCTAGAACCCAACACAGATTCAAGTATTAAATTTAGTTTTCTCAAAATCTCATTTAAAATTTTGGAGGCTTACAAAATTGTAATTTTTAGTTCCTTGTTTCGAAGCTCTTACAAATAATAAATTTGTGTTGTTATTGTTGTCTTTGAAATTTGAACAGGTTCATTTTTCCTGGTTTTTTTCTTCCATAAAAGGCTGAAAGCTGCTTAGAGAAATGGTTGACTCCAGGGCTGGAGCCAGGAAGATAGATTATTACACAAATATACCAGTATCTTGTAGTTGCAGAACATAAGAAAATGATCAAAATACTGAAGTGAACTTTCCAAAGGAAGCCAGAAACCAACATACTGGGAAAGTCTACCAATCTTTCCAGCTAATGAGGTTTTTCAGCATAGATTTAATGGTGTTATAAAATTCCCAGATAACGTTCATATTCAAATTTATCAAAAAATGTTAATCTTCTCCTGCAGTCTTACTATTTTTCCCTCCAGCATTCAGTAGTCAGACCCAAACCTAAAAGTCATTGTGATGTTTTCCTCTCCGACCTCACCCTCACCTGCTGTAACAGCTAAGGTTTTATTTTTGAACTTTAGTCCCATCTTCTTTTGCATTACTGTCCAAGTCCTCCTCCTAAAACACAAATCTCCTGTGCAACTTCATGTGATTGGGTCCATCCCAATCCTCTGCAGGCTCACCGTTTCTTAGTACTGCAGTGCACAAGACAGCTAAACTCCCTCCCATGTTCTGAGATACCCTTGACACACAGAGGACAGGCCCAGAATGCTCTCCCCAACACATTTCACAGTTCCACCCCCTCAGTATTAGCGCTCCTGATTTTAACCTGATTGTCCCTCTTCGAAGATCCTTCATACCCAGTGAGGCAGTTATGCTCTACATGTCTTTTGTTTATTCCCCTGTATTATAAATACAGATTTACTGGTGTTCTTGACTCTGCTTTTTATTTCTGTGCCCCGTAACTACCACCATGAGGGTATGTTGGAGATGAAACTGGAAAAATTGTTTCACAAATTCAACCTTAGTTTTAGGAAAAGAATTTAGAATTTGCCAAATCAAAACTGAAAAAAATATTTTAACAGAAAAACAAGTTTATATAACTTCCCTAAATTATTATATGGAATATACTGTTTTCAACATCTCTAAATTTTTATTCTACTCCATCATGTCTCATGGACAGTACATACATAGACCTTATTTTTATCCTTTATTTTAATAAGCTATTGACTTTATGAAGAATTTTGCAGTTCACCTTTTGCACGGTATCTAAAGTTGATATTTGTGCCCACCTATTGACCTTCATTCCACTCTATCCCCTCAGATTATCTCAGAATCCACTTCAAAACTTAATCTTTGGGCTGGGGATTTAGCTCAGTGGTTTCACCACCTGCCACACAAGCACAAGGATTCGAGTTCGATCCCTGGTACCAAAAATAGTAATAATCATCATCATCATCATCATCTTCAAGGAACATTTTTAAAAGTTTTAGTTTTTGTTGTTGTTATTTTTGAGACAGGGTCTCACTATGTAGTTCAGGGTGTCCTTGAACTACTATGTAGCCCAGGCTGGCCTTGAACTTGCACTGATTCTTCTGCCTTAGCCTCCCAACTGCTGGGTTTGCATGAGTGCATCACTACACCGGGCTTATTGTTTAGTTTTGATCACTAAAAGTATATCTTTCATTAAATTTGTCAAAA